CCTGTGTTTCCAACCAGAGACACGTCTGTCAATCGAAACCACAAAGGAAAATATACAAAAGGGCACAGACATAACTAAATTCAGATGCATTTCTATTATGTGCAAACAAAGATGGGGGGAAGAGAGAGCAGAGAGATGAATAGGGGACTCCTAGGAGTAACTGTTTTTTTTTTTTTTTTTTTGAGACGGAGTTTCGCTCTTGTTACCCAGGCTGGAGTGCAATGGCGCGATCTCGGCTCACCGCAACCTCCGCCTCCCGGGTTCAGGCAATTCTCCTGCCCCAGCCTCCTGGGTCGCTGGGATTACAGGCACACGCCACCATGCCCAGCTAATTTTTTGTATTTTTAGTAGAGACGGGGTTTCACCATGTTGACCAGGATGGTCTCGATCTCTTGACCTCGTGATCCACCCGCCTCGGCCTCCCAAAGTGCTGGGATTACAGGCTTGAGCCACCGCGCCCGGCCTAGGAGTAACTGTTTTGATTGGGAAAGATAAGAATGGCCACCTTCCTGACTCTAGAGAACTCATTACAGAGGAGAAGGCAGAGCACTCACTGTGGCCTTAGCCATTCCAATGGAGTAATTAGAATTTATTTGTATTAAGTGCATCCTATGTGTGTCACTGGGCTATCTGTTGTAGATACAAAAATGCTGAGATAAAATGTGTCCCTCTCCTCCATCTCTAGTGGGGAGGGCAGACACACAGATAACACATTCCACTGTGCTTAGATTTGTTAGGGCCTTCTACGTGGCTTCCTGCTCGTAGGGTGTAGTGGGTAGGGTCCAACTTTCCCTCCAGCTCCCTCTCTTCTGAAATGGGCCGTGTGAAGACAGGGATCGACCTGGCCACAGTCTGTGATGTAAAGTACTCATGAACCAACATCAAGCTCCCCACTGCCCCATGCAGGCTACACACTACCTCTGCCCAGATTCCCTTCAGGTGGCTGTGAGGTCAGATGGAGAGGAGAGGGTCTATCTCGTAATGCTGATAACATACAGTAGATCCATCTGCTAACACAATATTATTATTCTCACACTATCTCAAGTGAGCCTCATTTGAGAAGAACACTGTCTTAGCTCAGAAAAGTAATTACAAAATTTTCCTGGTTAATTATTAATCTTCTCTAAGTGAGAAAAGGAAATCCAGAGCAAAGTCAGGGCTGGAAGGGACTCTGAGAGGTCATTTATCTCCTGACTTCAGCGATTACATTGAAAACACTGCAAACAAATATAATCCCAGGTTTAGATGACTTCAGGAAAAAGGGTTACATTTTCTGGCATCCAGATTCCCCATTTTATAATACCTTCCTCCCTTGCATCTCATCAGGCAGACCGCAAATGTCAGGGTGCACCAGAATCACTTTGGGAGGCTTTTTTAACACAGACTGCCAGGCCCCACCCCATGGTTTCTGGATCAGCAGGGCCTCAGTGGAGCCTGAGAATCTGAATTTCTCACATGTTCCCAGGCGGAACTGATGCTGAAGGAACCAGGCCTCCACTGCGAGCACCTCTGTTCCAGCCTAACCCTTGCCGGACCTGATCCTTTTATTCCTGATGGAAATAGATACCAGTGGGTCATCATTCTTTGGCAGAGAGACACACATGTACCTGAAGAACAATTCAAGAGTCTCCCAGTCATTTACTCGCTCTTCCAGGCTAACTAATAGAAGTTCTCCACCCTCTTATCATAGGTGTCACCTTCCAACCCTCAATTTTTTTTTTTTTTTTTTTGCAAGTTCTTTGTGGAGCCCTCTCCAAGTCTCTTTTCATAGTGGAGCCATGAGAGACCCAGAACCTTAGAGACTGGCTGAGGTTGGGCATGGAGGGAGGGGGTGACTCACAGAACTATGCAGGAGGGGGTGACTCACAGAACTATGCAGGCCACTCATGTTATTACTCTCCAGTACCCACGCCTGCCTATCAGCCCTTCTTCTGATTCATGTGCTTCTAACTCCTTTACGAGCTGTAGTAATGCTCAGTAGATCTTCATAACGCCTTCCTTCTGAGAAGCTGAAGGCATTTCCCTAACTAATATTACAGTTGACTCAATATCCTAAACCAGTGCAGGATTAAGTAAACTCTTGAACTGCAAACCAGTTCGGGAAGGGAGAATCTGGAACTCGAGATCCCTATCTAAATACCATTTTATGGAGAAAGATGCTTTGATATTTACTGGACTTTATAACAAGTTTACCCCTTCCACATGATAATAAGAGTTTCAGGGGCAAGCAAAAATGTGAAGCTTCTCCCCTTTGCAGGAGGATTGCAATGGAGAACTGGAGTGGGGGGCAAGGCTTCTGGGGTCAGTCTTGTTATCTGTCCGCATCATTCCCAGGTATGGGAGGGAAAGGGAAGGCACAGCTGTGTGTCCTAATCGTCTCTGGCAAAAGCCCAGAGGAGCTGAATGCTGAAGTATCCTCAACACACCCGACTCATCTTGTTTCCCTTTTCTTCGTTAGCTCATATTTTCTACCAGTGTAGTTACTGAATGTCAGGGGCCCAGTTTCTGTGTCCTAACTCCTTGTAGCACGTGGGTTGGAACTACGCTTTCTTTGCACACTGCATGTGCTGTGAGGTACTTAACACATGCTAAAATAATGACAGCAGTCCCGGTATTCCTGAGAAATCAGCATTCCTCCCGAGGGCCAGATCCCATTATGTTACACTTTTGTGTTTTAAGACGGGCGGAGGCCGAAGGCATCCCTCCGCTCACGGCTCCTTCCACTTTAGATCAACAGCTGGAACTCAGGTAACACAGCCTCTTCCGACAAGATTTCCTTTAGAGAGAGAACATTCTGGGGATGTGATAGATCACTGAGTATCCCAGCTCCAGGCCCAAAGGCAACCTGTTACACAGCGCGGTTCCCATTTAGCCATGCAGGCAAGGGACCCATTAAAACCTTGTGAGTGAAGGGGTCCCAGAGAAAAGAGACCCTTTCTCTGCATCCCGGAGAAACCCCTTAAAAGCTTCTGAGCGGCGGAAAGTAACAGTGAAGTAAATCTGCAACTGGCAGCGTTTCTGTGAGAGCCGCTGGGTCTGTAACTATTTCAAGAGGTGGAGGACTAGGATTAGAGCACAGGCAGACGGAGAGAGTGGCCCCAACAGGACTGCAGGGGAGACGTGTGGTCACCTGAGGCGTGGGGACAGCAGTGCAAGGGCCGGCAGGCTCGGCTCCTGGACTCCTCCTGCGGCTACAAGGCTGCTCTGTTTCTCGGCACCTGGGCCCCCCCGTGTGACTCTGCATAGAGCTAGTCATGATTTGTCACCCAAGGTCATAACCGGTCACAGCCAGCATCACTTCACCAGGCACACGGGGTAGATGCAACGAAGAGAATCGCAGCATCGGCAAACGCGAGGAATCCCGGCACTGACCCTTATGTAATGAAAGCCATCTCCGCTCTCACCCACCGCTGTGACTCTCACAGCACGTAAATCATTAGAACAAACATGCGCATTTTAGCAACGTGTCATAAGGCACATGCTTACTAGCAGTAGAAAAACCTATAGAAACGTCTGTGAAATTAAACAATGGATAAATTCGAATCAGCTTTTCTCTTTTGTATGACTAAAAACTACCATAGGTCAAGTGAATACTGGCTTGAAAACTAATACCAAACTACAGTGTACCTTCAAAAACGCTCCACTGAGATTCTGATGGTGCCTTATTAACAGTTAAAAGAATAACAGCAATAAGTCAGAATTTTTTGGATAAAAGTATATATTATGAAGGATCACTGGAACAAAACCCCTTTCACTGCTGAAGATGACATTAGAAGCTTCTGTTATAATTATAATTCATCCGGACAGCAAATTTCTCTTCAGCTCAATAAAGACTAAATATGAAAAAGTTTCTTTCTAAAAATAGCCCAAGAACTCAGTACTACTTTCCTTTCTTACATTCTTTTCCTACTAAATGAAACACTGAAACATTTCCTTTCATTGTTGACACTTTATGTCATTTGCATTTAAAATCAGACAATACATAATAACAAAGAAGTCTTTAAATCTTTTCAAAATGGGAAAATGGCATTCACAATACTTACTGAAGGCCTGCCTCCTTCCTCACTCTAGAGCTGACAAGCACAGATAGCTGATAAGCACCTACTGTATCGCCTAGGAGAATTGTTTCATGAACATCAATATTCCTAGAGCTGATACATTTACTTTCTAATTGATGAAGAAATTCCCGCCTGGTTCCCTGCTGTAAGCAATGTTTGGCATGAAGTCAGTCCACAGTGAAAACACACTTCTAAATGAGCAAGGTGATTAAGTGTAATTTAAAATATTTGACATCAAAATCTTTTGTTTCCTTCAGTACAAATTTAAGTTGGCAATAACGTGTTAGATGAACAGCAGTTAAGTTTACAGAATCCCATGGCCTTTGGTTACTTTTGATAACTAACTCAGTCTAAAAGAGGATGCTTTAAATTATTCTCTAAAAACCTTCCTCCTAATTTTAAAAAGTACTTCTCTTTAGGCATATGCAGATTTATTTTTTAAGCACAAAATTCTCCTTAAAAATTTTTTTTAAATGTCCATTTATATCGTCAAGAAAATTATTTTGACACTCCATTATTTCTACAGCATAAACTTGTAGCACAGAGTACAACAGGAATTAACTTTTAACATTTTTTTCTCAAGAGTTAGGTTACCATAGTAGAAAAATAAGGCTCAATGACACAATACAACGTTTCTGTATTTACAGAAACCATATCCATTGATCAAATATTTTAACATAAAATAACTAATAATCTACAGATTGCTTTTGCAAAAATAAGAATCGCAAACTTTTTCTTGGGAAAATTGAATAAGATAGATTTATTGCAGTAGGAGACATTTAAAGAAAAATCTTTTGCCACCTTTCTTAGCTTTCTCTAAAGTACGGACCTCAAAGCTTACAGTTTCCCCAAGAGGTAAACATTACTATGACGGTAACATTAGGAAGATTTAAGAAGGAGAAAAGAACAAAGAGAAGTCTTAAAATTCCACCCAGTACTTACAAGTAGTTTCAAAGAAAACTGAGCCACAGTTCTTCAGAAGACTGCTCTCCTGATCATATACACAATCTGAAGTCTAAAATAGATACCCTATCACATTAGGCCGAGAAGTCACATTTCAGCTTGCTAACTTCTACTTTTACAACTCATAGAACTAACGCTGGCTAAAATTAACCGCAGCCAAGCGGCAGGCAGGAACATGCTGATTTGCATCATGTGTGCTGGGATTTATTCACTAGGACAACATCGGTGTCCTCTTAATGGGAAATGTGGCCAAGGGGCGTGCCCTGGTGAACAATACATAGCATCGTGATTATGCTAATTACTGAATTCAGTCCAATAATGCTAACTTCTTTTAAGTTGTTTTTGCAAGTACTGACAAAGAGAAGGAGTAAGCTTTTTCCCAACAGGCATTCACTTGATTTTTAAGCACATTCAAATCAGACCAAACTTTGGCAACAAGGTGGCAGTGCTGTGTGCTCTTCACAAGCAAAAGCAGAGCAAAAGGACATTCTGTCCGATTATTTAAACAGCGTGATTAGATGCAGCACTACGTGAAATTAAATAGACACAGAATACACATATCGGTAAGTCTATCCACCAGAACCTTGAAATAAAAGCTTTTTCATTCTCTATAATGAACTGATTGCAGGGATTTGCTTTCTGACTCTGCTTCCTGTACCTCCCAAGGAGTCGCTATGAAGACACAGGTTCAGTAAAAAATCACAACCAAGCATAAATATCTTAAACATTTGCAAAGGCATTGTCCTTGGCAAGAAGCATTTTAAGGTGCATTTAACTGCTTGGCTAGAAAAATTGTCCTCTACAAAGCATGTTGGAGCTCAAGTTAACAGGTAAAGACCCCAAACATACAGCTGATACTTAAAAGAATATCAGAATGCGAAATTTTCTCTTGAAAATATAAGTACAACTTACAACAAAGACACAGAGCCACTTAGTATCTACTTAAGATGATTCAGACTTGTAGTTTGCTTTGCTCTTAACGGACACTCTATTAAAGATATCAAAGCACTTTACAAACATCCAGTCAAATCTCCAAGCATCTTTGGGGGACATAATTTTCCTCTTTTTTTTTTCTTTTCCACAGATGAGTAAAAGACAGGGTAATTCAATTTCAATGCAACCAACCCTGGATGACCCCATCACCTCCTGAACCCTCTATAACATTTTCCGTATTATATACTTATCTATAATCCTTTAGACCTTTTCAGAGCCATTTGTTTTCCTAATTTAAAAATGTCATATGTTAGTTTGGACTTCAGGAGATTCACTCTACTTAACACCCACTCTACTTAACGCCAGGCCTGAGCTCCAGGGGCTTAAAAAGCACTCCTTGATTCTCTCTTGCAGGCAGGTATCCTGCAACACGGATCCCTAGAACATGGCGATGCCCTCAGGAGGCACTGTCCATCTGCAGCCTGCTGCCCAAAGCGCAAACCGGTTGATCTTCATTGGCGTGAGTTGGAAATCGCCAGCACAATCTCCCTCCTGTTGTTTATAAACACTGCTGGCTGCTGGTCTGAGATTGCATCCCTTCGGCCTAACCTGAGGCTCTGTGCCAGCACGTGCCCCACCTCTGCAAGAGGATGGCTGGTGTGCACTCCCGATCACTCCAATCCAGAGTCACAGGAGGCAGGCATTCCCACTCTGTGCTGAAAGGAGAGAAGTCAGCACTCATCAAAGATGGCCAGCCGCTGATAAACAGAATTATTCTCAATAATCCACCGCAAACTCACTCCAGAACTCTTAATGTCAAAAAAGATCTTGTGAGGCTATTTTTGACACAATATTCTTATCCTATTATGTCATAGTTCAGTAGAAAAGTCTCTAAGTCAAAATATTTCTGCCCTAAACCAGAAAGAAAAAGCAAATACACCAAGTGCATTTCTGTATCAGAGTTTGTATTGGTAAGGAGCAACCTGATATATGATGGATCCTACATCCATTAGTCAGAAGGCGGGGGCCCCTGAGCAATGCTCCAGTTCCTCACATGTCAGATGTGCCTAGATGACTCTGCTGGTTCAACAGCAGCCACACCTGTCCTAAAATGCAAGAACCAAAGCATTCCAAAGAAAACAGTGTCTCCTCCAACTTACATGAGTCATTCTGCTGCTTCCTTTTCATTAGTGAAACTACTTGGAGTCAACAATGCTTTTGTTCTAGGTATACTTATGACAACAGAGAAAAATCTGTACCTTTAAAAGCAGAGTAAATTCTTACCATTTGTTCTCATGAATATTTGGTAGTAGGGGAGGAGGGACAGGGAAAGTGGTAACCCTATGGGATCTTTAGTTCAACAAATCCACGAAACTAAAGAAAATGACTGTTTTTATGAATCTACACTAATGAATTAACCCGGATACCAACCTTCTATGAGCAGCTACATGTATAATTTAAAATTTTCTAGTAGCTGTTTATAGAAAGTAATAAAGAGATAAAATTAATTTTAATAATATACTTTATTTAATGCAGTAGATCCAAGATATGATCATTTTAATGTGTAATAATCATAAAAACTATTCGTGGGATATCTTACATTCTTTTGTTTGTACTGCCCCAAGCCTGTGCAATCCAGTGCGTATTTGACAATTAGTACATTCCTATCTGGACAATCCACATTTCAAGTGCTCAGTACTCACATGTGCCTGATGACTATCAGAGTGGAAAGCCTGAGTGTACAAATACCTTCCTGACAACAGCTTTTCTGTTTGTGGGCATGTGCACACTCATATACACTCAATAAACATCAACTAAGATACTGGGCATTGAGGATGAAAAAAGCCTAGTTTTTATCCTCAAGGAGCTCAAAGTTTAGACGCTTGGCATTCTTTTCTTGTTTTTTAGAGCTAGGGTCTCACTCTGTCACCCCAGGCTGGAGTGCAGCGGCACAATCACGGCTGACTGCAGCCTCGACCTCCTTAGCTCTAGCAATCCTCCTACCTCAGCCTCCTGAGTAGTTGGGACGACCGGCATGTGCCAGCACACCTGGCTAATTTTAAAATTTTTTTGTAGAGACAGGGTCTAATCTGGGCTCAAGTCTTGAACTCCTGGGCTCAAGTGGTTCTTCTACCTCAGCCTCCCAAAGTGCTGAGATCACAGACATGAACCACTGTGCCTGGTTTCTTGGCATTCTTAACCTCTGAAATAATAGCAAAATATTCTGTGTTTTCTGTGTGTATTCTTCTGGGGAGATAACTTTCTTCATCACTTTATTAAAGGAGTCTGTGTCTCAGAAAGGATAAGAGCCACGAGACTAGACTAGCAGCAGATGCTGGGAGAAATGGAGAGTTACAGAAGAGGAAGGAACTGAGACAGGTAAAGAAAAGGGGGGCCGGGCGCGGTGGCTCACGCCTGTAATCCCAGCACTTTGGGAGGCTGAGGCAGGTGGATCACAAGGTCAAGAGATCGAGACCATCCTGATCAACACGGTGAAACCCCGTCTCTACTAAAAATACAAAAAAATTAGCTGGGCATGGCGGCGCGTGCCTGTAATCCCAACTACTCAGGAGGCTGAGGCAGGAGAATTGCTTGAACCCAGGAGGTGGAGGTTGCGGTGAGCCGAGATCACACCATTGCACTCCAGCCTAGGTAACAAGAGTGAAACTCTGTCTCAAAAAAAAAAGGGGTGGGGTGGGGAAGAAAGGACTAAAAGGAAGAAAAATAAACCAAAAAGAGAGAAGAATTTCATTGCTAGACATGAAATTTTAGTTATAAAATCATATAACTGGGCATGGAGGCTGGGCATGGAGGGGAGTGGAGGCGGAGGAGGGTGGATCTCGAAGTCAGGAGCTGGAGACCAGCAGGCCAACATGGTGAAAACCGTCTCTACTAAAAACACAAAAATTAGCCGGCATGGTGGCCTGTGTCTGTAATCTCAGCTACTCAGGAGGCTGAGGCAGGAGAACTGCTTAAACCCAGGAGGTGGAGGTTGCAGTGAGCCGAGACAACACCATTGTACTCCTGTCTGGGCAACAGAGCAAGACTCCATCTCAATAAAATAAAGAAATAAATAGCGCACCTGCCGCACATACAAAGGCGCACAGTCCGCCGCGCTCGCTTGGCTGCCCCGCGTCTAGCTAGCCCAGTGTCCGCCACAACTCTGCCAAGGCTTCAACAGACCACACCAAAATGCCATCTCAAATGGAACATGCCATGGAAACCATGATGTTTACATTTCACAAATTTGCTGGGGATAAAGGCTACTTAACAAAGGAGGACCTGAGATTACTCATGGAAAAGGAGTTCCCTGGATTTTTGGAAAATCAAAAAGACCCTCTGGCCATGGACAAAATAATGAAGGACCTGGACCAGTGCAGAGATGGCAAAGTGGGCTTCCAGAGCTTCTTTTCCCTAATTGCGGGCCTCACCGTTGCACACAAGACTATTTCATAGTACACATAAAGCAGAGGGGAAAAAAGTAGGCAGAAACGACCAATTCCCCAGGCCCTGATAAGAGCTGCCCTAAAGGGTCGCTTAAGGAATCTGCCCCACAGCTTCCCCCATATAGGGATTTCATGAGCAGATCAGGACCCTTAGCAAGTGTACAAATAAAATCTAACTCCCATTTGATGAGCAGAGAAAGAAAAGTTAAACGCCAGACAGGCTTTTGATTTTTGTATTGTTTGCATCCCCTTGCCCTCAATAAATAAAGTTCTTTTTCAGTTCTGAATAAATAAATAAATTAATAAATAAAGTCATATGATACAAATTGGCATGTTCCAGTTACTATGCCAGGTGCTGGGGCAGATACAGAGATGAAAGACAAGCTGTCTGTGTCCAAGGAGTTCACATTTAGTGACAGGAACAGACTAATCCAGGCAGATATAATACCTAGATAAGTATGAAGATGCAGTTTATGTGCAATGTGCTATGGCTGCAGTGGGGAGAAGAGGAACG